TGAGATAAAGTCATAATTATGACATTACAAATCATGAGATAAAGTCATAATTCTGAGATAAAAAGTCAATGACATAAAAAAATGTAAATTATGACAATAAGTCATTAATTATGAGATAATTAAGTTACAGTTGTGACATACTAAGTCATAATTATGGAATAAAAGGTCTAAATTATGAGATAAAAAGTCACAATTATAACATTCTAAATCATAATTATGAGATTGACTAGTCGAAATGACTAAAATACTGCAATGCATATGCATTTTGGTTTAGAAGTGTATGCACACCACATTGAGTATATTATATAAATTATGTTGTCATATCGGTGTATTTTACACTGCTGTTGTTCAGTTTTACCTCGTTCAGATGCTGTTTTTGTGTCTTCACGCAGGTGCAGATCAGAGCGGTGTGATGTCTGATAACACGTCACTGCCGTCTGTGTCTAACGCGTCTCTCCCGCCGCTGCTGACGGACTGGACGGCGCCCTCCTTCACTCCCGCGGCTCAGGCCCGGGTCGCAGCCACCATGGTGCTCTTCCTGTTCGCCGCTGTCAGTAACCTGGCGCTCCTCATCAGTGTGTCGCGCGGTCGGCGTCTGGCGTCTCACCTGCGTCCTCTCATCATCAGCCTGGCGTCGGCCGACCTGATGATGACCTTCATTGTGATGCCGCTGGACATGGTGTGGAACGTGACAGTGCAGTGGTACGCCGGAAACGGGCTCTGTAAGCTGCTGTGTTTCCTGAAGCTCTTCGCCATGCAAACCTCCGCCTTCATCCTGGTGGTCATCAGTCTGGACCGGCATCACGCCATCCTGCGGCCGCTAGACTCACTCAACGCCCACCACAGGAACAGGAGGATGCTACTGCTGGCCTGGAGCCTCAGTGCGCTGATCGCATCGCCACAGGTCACACACACACACACTCACAAACACACTCATTCACGCTCACTCACTAACTCACACTCTCACTCACTAACTCACACACTCATTCACGCTCACTCACTAACTCACACACTCACTCACTAACTCTCACACTCATTCACACTCACACACTAACTCACTCTTGCTCACTCACTGACACTCACTCACTAACTCTCACTCACTAACGCTCATTCATGCTCACACACTAACTCACTCTCGCTCACTCACTAACTCACACACTCATTCATGATCACACACTAACTCACACACTCACTAACTCACTCACTCAAGCTCACACACTCGCTCACACACTCACTAAAGGTCACACACTCACTCACACTCTCTCACACTCACTCAAGCTTACACTCTCACTCACACACTCTCTCACACTCACTAAAGCTCACACACTCACACTCACTCATTCAAGC